GGTATTATTGTGTATTATATTAGTAATTCAATCATTCATTTTCCTTCTGCTTAGTCTCTACTTCAGCTAGTATTGCCACATCAAAATGAACCCCCAACTATTCCAGCATATGTTTTACACAGCGAATGCCCTTCCAGCCACAACCTAGTACTGGTAAACACCCATAAACGCTACGGCCAATTTAGTTTCGGGACTAAATATTGAATACCGCTCCCGCCCGCTCCCGCTTATATTCAGCATTTGTTGTCCTGCTGCCTGACCCAACCCGTTTTCTACCCCTTGCACCCTTTCCCACTTACGAGCGGGCGGAGAACAAAACCGAAAACCACCCAGCTTAACAGAGTCCAGACAGCGTATAACAAGCTGTCTGTATAAACAAATAAACAGCCATAAAGTATGGGTTTATTTCACAAGGATTCTGACACAACAATGTGAAGCAGACACTTTCGTTGTGTTTAAAGAGGAAACACGTCAAACTTAATGACACATTGGAGGGCGCATGCTGAAAGGCAGAGGAATGCGCAGTCTTTGACAGCTCGCGACTTTACCAGAGACTTTCTGAGTACATTTACATGGACACCAATACTCAGATTTTAATATGACTAAGATAATACTCTTATTAAGAGTCTACCATGTAAGCAGCGATTTTTGATTACCTTAAAGGACCACCAAGTCACAAAATGCAGAGGGTTTTTTTTCCGTTCGCCATGCGGTATCAAATTCTATTAAAACAGAAGTCGAAAGTTAAAAATTAAATATCCGAAATTGCAGGAAACTCTGGATGAAACTCTGGAGAGCCTGGTGATGTGACATTAATTGTTTTATACTGAAACTTGCCTTCAAAAAGTGCTTCCTTGGTCTTATCCATGTTTCTTTGCATGTTAAACACACGTCGACCACAACAGGAAGTAAAAAAAAACCTGCAACTCCGTTAACTGCGTTAATTGCGTAATTTTTTTAACCCGTTAAATATATATATATATATATATATATATATCTCTCTATATATATCTACATATATATATATATATATATATATATATATATATAAATAAATATATATATATTTATTTATATATATATATATATATTTATTTATATATTAGTGCTGTCAAAATTAGTGCGCTAACGCATGCGATTAATTTGAAATATTTAACGTGTTAAAAAAATACGCAATTAACGCAGTTAAAGCAGTTGCAGGTTTTATTTTTACTTCCTGTTGTGGTCGACGTGTGTTTAACATGCAAAGAAACATGGATAACACCAAGGAAGCACTTTTTGAAGGCAAGTTTCAGTATAAAACGATAAATGTCACATCACCAGGCTCTCCAGAGTTTCCTGCAATTTCGAGTGTTTCATTTTTAACTTTCGACTTATGTTTCAATGAAATTTGATACCGCATGGCGAATGGAAAAAAAACCTCCACATTTCGTGACTCTGTGGTCCTTTAAGGTAATCAAAAATCACTGCTTACATGGTAGACTCTTAATAAGAGTATTATCTTAGTCATATTAAAATCTGAGTATTGGTGTCCATGTAAATGTACTCAGAAAGTCTCTGGTAAAGTCGCGAGCTGTCAAAGACAGCGCATTCCTCTGCCTTTCAGCATGCGCCCTCCAATGTGTCATTAAGTTTGACGTGTTTCCTCTTTAAACACAACGAAAGTGTCTGCTTCACATTGTTGTGTCAGAATCCTTGTGAAATAAACCCATACTTTATGGCTGTTTATTTGTTTATACAGACAGCTTGTTATACGCTGTCTGGACTCTGTTAAGCTGGGTGGTTTTCGGTTTTGTTCTCCGCCCGCTCGTAAGTGGGAAAGGGTGCAAGGGGTAGAAAACGGGTTGGGTCAGGCAGCAGGACAACAAATGCTGAATATAAGCGGGAGCAGGCGGGAGCGGTATTCAATATTTAGTCCCGAAACTAAATAGGCCGTAGCGTTTATGGGTGTTTACCAGTACTAGGTTGTGGCTGGAAGGGCATTCCCTGTGTAAAACATATGCTGGAATAGTTGGGGGTTCATTTTGATGTGGCAATGGCTGAAGTAGAGACTAAGCAGAAGGAAAATGAATGAATGAATTACTAATAAAATACACAATAATAC